CACACACACACACACACACACACACACACACACACACACACACACACCCCACTAGCCTCATGAAATGTGAACATATCAGTTTATATAATAAAATTATATATGTCATAAAATTATATAATATATAACCTGTGATGGACAATGAGGATAGGAGGAACCTGTAAACTTACATGTAAGTTTTAGTAGAAAAGATTTAAAAAATCTAGAATTTCTTAATCCCTTCATTGTAAGGAGTATATTAACAATTACATTTCCCCTGTTTTTGTATGGTGAAGGTCAAACCTGGGGCTTTGCATGTGCTAGGCAAGCTCTTCACCACTAGGCTGTCTCAGACTTTTGACGGTGGGTGCTTTGAAGTATATCCTGTGCCTTTAGAGATTGTTTACATTTTAAAAAGAAAATATAATCAATCACTTATCTCATTGTGATGAAATGAAATACCAAAAAGCCATCATATTCCTTTTCATGAGACTTACAAAGAATGAAAGCAGTCTCTGTTCCCAGAGTGTTAGGAGTGCTAATATGACACAAATACAATTTTAAACACATGCCTCTTCTCCTTTATCATTGTGAAAATATCACACACAATAATTAATGAGTTACAGAGCAAATGAAGATGTAACATGAAGCTTCAACAAGAAAAGCAGGTAAAGGACTACACTAACACAAGCACATGCTGTGCTCCACTAGAGCTCTGACTGCCCTCCCCCCACCTTCCCAATTGCTTAGTGAATGAGTTCTAAAGGGCATGTGGGCTTGGCATATGAACACTGATTGGGAAAGACTTTAGCAATTTTACAATGAAACAGGATCAGTGAATTTATTTCACTAAGAAGTCTCAGTCTAACAACAAAAAATAGTATGTGAGGAAACAGTGGTAAAAGAGATGAAGAGGACTAAGGGCACTTTTCTTTTGTATCTAGAGGCTCATATATTCATAAATCTACGGGAAACATTTTTAAATGTTGATTACATCAGTATCAAATATTTTTGAAGGATTAATTTTTAAAATCTATACAAAAATACTGAGGCCAATTTTACTTCAGATCTTTATTTACATTAATATGTATTGGTGCTTGCATGTGTCAGATCCCCTGACACTGAAGATAAGGGTGGTTGTGAGCCACCATGTGAGTGCTGGGTACCACACCCACGTCAGCAAGATCAGCAACCTCTCTAACTTCTGAGTTATCTCTGCAGCCCCAGATCTTATTTCAAGTAATTATCAAATGCTATATAATTTTGTTAAATATATTGTTCTCTAATATGAACAGAAATATCCTTTATTAAAAATACAAGTTTCTTCCAGAAGACATTGTTGACCTTTCACCCTAAGGTATAACCTTTTCTCATTCACTCAATCACGAAATGCAGTGATTCTGACCCCAAGGAACTGTCAGTTTAGTATGAAGGTAAGAATATGCATATTAGGCCTTATTTTGGAATAATAGTTATCATACTGCCTTTACCAGTGTTAATATAAACATTATTTAATAAGTAATAAGCAGGAAATCATGTAAGGCAAATGCAATTTCTAAAATAACAGAGAATTACAAAGTTATGAATATAAACCAGTCCACATCAGTCAGGGAGTATCCTCCAGAAAAAGAGGTGGAGGTAGGATATGAATGAAAATTAAGATAAAGCATCCATTATACCCTATTGGAACCCATAAAATTCCGTGGGGAATAAAGCAGACAGATGTGTGTGTACAAACACAAGTACACATGAGCACCCTGACAGGTTAAATTACCTTTCATTTTCTCGGACCTGTCTTCATCCATACTGTCGTCAAGATCGTGACCTACTGCAACACCCTGGAAGGACTTGTAGGATACAATCATTAGGCCGTTTCCATCAGGCTCAATCGCTGCATAATGCGGAACTGACTTTCCATGGAAAACATGACGCTTTGTAATTTCATACTTGTTACTATCTGTAGGAAAATAAATTATATGGAAAGCTACATTGTAAAGAATATTTTGGTATGAAAAAATGAATTAATAACTTAGGACCACCAAGGTGGCTCACTGGGTAAGGGTCCTTGACACCAAGTCTGATGACAAGAGTCCAATACCCAACAACAACATGGTAGAAACGGACAGTTCTCCTCTGGCACACACACAAATACACTCACACACGTCTGAGAACTTTATCGTCCTTCAACAAGTCACTACTTTAGAATACTGGTTTTGATGAAATTTGCTCTAAATTGTAATGTCCAGTGCAGCAGTCACTACTGCAAATGGCTACTTAATTAAAATTAAGTAAAGTTTAAAATTCACTATCTTAGGCTACTTAGGCATATTTCAAGTGTCTAACAGCCACACATGACTTGTGGTTAATCCCAGTGAATGTCATACAAATAAAGCATGTCCAACCTGTACAAGTTCCCACTGGAGAACAAAGTCTAGACCTCAAAATGACCGACTGCATTCTCAGCAGGTCTGTGATACACACCTTTTAAAAAGACACTATCTGAGATGGGGGTGGGGAGAAGTGGAGAAGGAACTATTTTCCTCTTGTTTTAGCTACTCATAAGAAGGGCTTCTTAAAATGAAATATTTTCATAGTAGCTGGTTTTTATAAAACAAAACAGAACTACATAAATATTATAATCAATAATGAAATTGTAAGTACTTACAACGTTTGCTATAATACCAATTTTATTGTACTTTAAGGTTTTAGTAAATGTATTCTCTTATGAAGACACACTGTTTTCTACATACTCAAAACACTTCAGATAAAAAAACCACTCTCTACCAAGAACCCACAGCCACCACAGTTGGCTGGCACCCAGATCACTACATTGCTCAACCCTCATCAAAGAAGCTCTTTCTTGCAGTAGATGAGAATTTAGAGACCCACAACTAGACAATGTGCAGATGGTTAGAGATCTTGGAGAACTCAGCCCTATATGGGATGTTTATAACAAATGCTTTCTCTTATGGCTCAAAAACCTATGCAGAAGATGAGGTGGAAGAGATTGTAAAGGCCAGAGACACAGAAAGATATCTAGACATATCAGGGCTAATTAATGCACCTATGAATTCTCAGAGACTGTGACAGAACACTTAAGACCTGTACAAGTTCGTGCCAGAAAACATTCCAGCACTCCTAAGTGGAAGTGAAATTGTATGCAAAGTCACACTCCTAATAAGAAATAATTTACAATTGGTACCACTAATTTTCTCCAGTGAAATATTACTAGGTATATCAAACACACTCCAGGGTAGACATCATGCTGAGGAGTAGCTGATCAACATTTTGTCCCCAGAATACACAAGTATGAAGTCAATCATGTTCTGTTTTGTTGTTTGTGTGTGTGTTGCGTGTGTGTGTGTTGCGTGTGTGCATGCACGCAGCACTTTTTTTTTCTGCTATAATTACTGCTTTTGTCTTTTTGCTTTCTTTTTTGTTTTTTTTGAGGTTTTTTTGAGAGAATGAAGAAGCATGAAGTTGTGTAAGGAGGATTGAGGAGGACTTGTGAGAGTAAGAAAGAATATGATCAAAATACATTACACACAAAAATAAAAATATTAAAAACAAATTTAAAAAATTAAAAATATTTAATAAGGAATGTAAACAAGCAAGCAAGCAAACAAAAAAAAATCACTTCAGGCAAGTATATACCTTTATACTACTATTCTATTAGATGGATCATATTTTTGGAAGTTTAACACTAAGTAGTTAAAAATCAGCTTAACATTTACTAAGTAATTTACTTATCAAGTAAACATTGTCATTTTCCAATTTAACCCTTTATAAAATATAATTTATTCTATGTTTCCCTCAACACAGTTTAGGAAAATATACTACTTTACTGTGCTAAATTCAAACATCAAAATGACTGTGATACAGTTCAGCCAATTCGCTCACTGTGCAAACAGGAGAATTTGATTTTGGTCCCAAGATCCCCCTTTACAAAGCCATGCACAGTGCATGAACTTGTACTCTGAGCATTAGAAAAGCAGAACAGATGGACATTTGTACCCACTGCCAACCAGTCTAGCCTACTTCATGAGCTCCAGACTAAAGAGAAACTCCACCTTAAAACACAAGGTAGCCTGCTTCTAATGACACGTGAGGTAGACCTCTGACCTCCACATGCCCCTGAATACACACACCACACACACAGGGATGAGAAGGGATTTAAAAAGAACACAATTCTATTAGTAACTGGGGAAAACACGATACGAAATACAGCAAAGACAGCCACGGCAACACAGAGAAACGTGCCTCAGAAACAACAACAAAAACAAAACAAAAACAAGAAAGACCATAAGACTCAGGCAGTTTAGTGTCCAAGTGGTAATGGAAAGAGGGACTGCCTCTGACATAATATGATTGGCCTGCTCTTTGATCACCTTCCCCTGAGGGAGGAGCAGCCTTACCAGGCCACAGAAGATGACAATGCAGCCACTCCTGATGTGATCTGATAGACTAAGATCAGAAGGAAGGAGAAGACCTCACCTATCAGTGGACTCGGGGAGGGGCATGTGTGAAGAAGAGGGAGGGAGGGTGGGACTGGGAGGGGAGGAAGGAGGGACTTATGGGGGGGAATCAAAGTGAATAAAGTGTAATTAATAAAATAAAATAAAACAAGAAAGAAAAAGAGAAACTTAAGAAAATTGCTGCATTCCACAAATAACAATCCTCGGAGGAAAAAACAAAACAAACAAAAAAAAAAAAACAAAAACAAAAAGGAAAATCTAAGAGTGCCTGCTTACCTGAGGACAGCTGAGCTGCTGAAGCAGAGTACAGTTCATGGGAAGTACCATGAACTGACCTGCAGCTACAGAATCAAGTCTATTTAGCACAGGGAGAGGGAAAAGGCACAATAATTTCTCCTCTAAGAAGCCAAATCATATACTTTAAAAAATACTGCTACTCTGTTTGGTTTTATGTTGAGGTCTTTGATCCCTTTTGACTTTAGTTTTGTGCAAGGTGATAAATATGAATCTATTTGCATTTTTCTACATGTAGACATCCAGTTAGACCAGCACAATTTTTTTCCATTGTATGGTTTTGGCATCTTTGTCAAAAATCAGGTTTCCATATGTGTGTGGGTTTATTTCAGGGTCTTCTATTCAATTCCATTGATCCACCAGCCAGTTTCTATAACAGTATCATGCAGTTTTTACTACTGTTGCTCTATAGTACAGCTTGAGATAAAGGATGGAGATGCCTCCAGAAAATCTTTTATTGTAAAGGATTGTTTTAGAGATTCTGAGTTATTCCATATGAAGTTGGGAATTTTTCTTTCAAGGTCTGTAAAGAATTGTATTGGTGATTTGATCGGAATTGCATTGAATCTGTAGATTGCTTTTGGTAAGATGGCCATTTTTACTGTTAATCCTGCCAAGCCATGAGCATGGGAAAATCTTTCAATCTTCTGATTCCTTCTTCTATTTCTTTCTTCAAAGACTGGAAGTTTTTTCCATACAAGTCTTTGACTTGCTTGGTTGTAGTCACATCAAGGTATTTTATGTCCTTTGTGGCTATTGTGAAGGGTGTTGTTTCCCTAATTTCTTTCTCAGCCCATTTGTCTTTTGTATATAGGAGGGCTACTGATTTTTTTTTTTTTCAGTTAATTTTGTATCCAGCCACTTTGCTGAAGGTGTTTATCAGCTGAAGGAGTTCTCTGGTTGAATTTTGGGGTCACTCATGTATGCTATCATATCATCTGCAAATAGTGATAATTTGACTTCTTCCTTTCCAAGTTGTATCCCCTTGATCTCCTTCAACTGTCTTATTGCTCTAGCAAGGACTTCAAGAACTATGTTGAAGAGATATGGAGAGAGTGGGCAGCCTTGTCTTGTCCCTGATTTCAGTGAGATTGCTTAAGTTTCTCTCCATTTAGTTTGATGTTGGCTATAGACTTGCTGTATATTACCTTTACTATGTTTAGGTAAGTGCCTTGTATCCCTGATCTCTCCAAGACTTTAAATATGAATGGGTGTTGGGATTTTACAAATACTTTTTCAGCATCTAAGGAGATGATTATGTGGGTTTTTCTCCTTCAGTTTGTTTATATGGTGGATTACATTGATGGATTTCCATATATTCAACTACCCCTGCATACCTGGACACACTAAACCTGTTAGAAGAAAAAGTGAGAAAGAGCCTTGAATTCATTGGCACAGGACACAATTTCCTGAACAGAATACCAACAGCACAGGCCCTAAGAGCAACAATAAATAAATGGGACCTCATGACAATGAAGAGCTTCTGTAAAGCAAAGTACACTGTCATCAGAACAAAACGACAGCCTACAGATTGGGAAAGGATCTTCACCAACCCTATATCTGACAGAAGGCTAATATACAGAATATATAAAAACTTAAGAAGTCAAACAACAACAAGTCAAATAATAAAATTAACAAATGGGGTACAGAGCTAAACAGAGAATTCTCAATAGAGGAATATCGAATGGCAGAGAAACATTTAAAGAAATGCTCAACATTCTTAGCTATCAGGGAAATGCAAATCAGAAACAACCCTGAGATTTCACCTTACATCTATCAGAATGGCTAAGAGCAAAATTTCAAGTGAGAACATACCTTGCAGAGGATGTGGAGAAAGGGGAACCTTCCTCCATTGATGGTGGGAATGTAAACTTATACAACCACTTTGGAAACCAATCTGACGCTTTCTCAGACAAAAAGGAATAACACTTATTCATATATCCAAAAGATGCTCAAATAAACAACAAGGACACTAGCTCAACCATGTTTGTAGCAGCATTATTCATAATAGCCAGAACCTGGAAACAACCCAGATGTCCCTCAGTTGAGGAATGAATACAGGAATTGTGGTACATTTACACAATGGAATACTACTCAGCAATTAAAAACAAGGAAATCATGAAATATGAATGCAAATGGTAGGAACTAGAAAAGATCATCCTGAGTGAGGTGTCCCAAAGCATGGTATATACTCACTTATAAGTGGATATTAGACCTATAATACAGGATAATCATACTAAAATCTGTACACCTAAGGAAATTAATCAAGGAAGAACACCCTGGGCAAGATATCAATCCTTATTCAGAAAGGCAAACGGGATGGACATTGGAAGAAGGAAAAACAAAGAACAGGACAGGAGCTTTCCACAGGGCGCCTCTGAAAGACTCTACCCAGCAGAGTATCAAAGCAAGAGGCTGAGACTCATAGCCAAACTTTGGGCAGAGTGCAGGGAATTTTATGGAAGGGGGAGATAGAAAGACCTGGAGGGGACAGGAGCTCCACAAGGAGAGAGAACAAAAAAATCTGGGCACAGGGGTCCTTTCTGAGACTGATATTCCAACCAAAGACCATTCATGGAGATAACCTAGAACCCCTGCACAAATGTAGCCCATGGCAGCCCAGTGTCCAAATGGGTTCCCTAGCAACGGGAATAGAGACTGTCTCTGAGATGAACTCAGTGGCCTGCTCTTTGATCACCTCCCCCTGAAGGGGGAACAGCCTTACTAGGCCACAGAGGACAGTTCTGATGAGACCTTATAGACTAGGATCAAATGGAAGGGGAGGAGGATCTCCTCTAACAGTGGACTAGGGTAGAGACATGGGTGAAGAAAAGGTGGGGTGGGATTTGGAGGGGACCGGGGAAGGGGTACAGTTGGGATACAAAGTGAGAAAAACTGTAATCAATAAAAAATAAATAAAATAAATACTTCTACTATTTCCTTAAGTCTTCAAACTACAACCCAACAGCCAAAGCCGAATCTGTACCTATGTTCGTACAACTTCAGGGTTGAGCATGACTTTGCATTTTGGGTGGTAAAAAATAATTTTTAGTACTCAGCCTTCAGTGTCCCTAAATATTTTAGAACCTAGCTTATTCATTTGTTCATAAACTCTCCGTTGCTGTTTTCATGTCATAACAAACAACACAGGTGAATAGCTGTGAAACAGACTGTCTGGTTCCTGTCTGTTCCTTTAAAACAGTTTCCCCCCTGACTCCTAAAATATAATTACTGCATTCCTACAGAAACGGAAATAAACACTGGGGAAAACAAGGTTTATTCAGCAATTTCCATGTCGACACAGACGTTTCTTATAGTGGTTATTCCTTCAAAAAAAAAAAAAAAAAAAAAAAAAAAAAAAAACTCTTAAAGGTCTATATCTGAAATGTAAATGTAAAATAAAGAGTATTTTTCATTTTGGTTATTTTGTTTTGTTTTGTTATTTTTTTGTATTGATGAAGAATTTCAGTTAAATTAATTTTCTTCTAATTGAATAAGGAAGAGTAGTGAGACAATGCCAAAATGGAAAAACAAAACAAAGAAAAAAACAAAGAACAAAAAGCAAACAAAAAGGTAACTCCATAGCTACCAATTAGAAAAATGAAGAGAGTGACAGAGGGGAAGAACATTAGATATATCACGTAAACTAAGCTGAGTCTTTCAAGGAGCAGGAAGTTATTATACATATGCAGAAGAACTTTTATGGAAGATAGATGCAAAAGACAAGGGGAACAAAATATAGGTAATTATTCTATCTTCCTGTTCTTATTTATATTTATATATTCAAATTACATTAAAATTTACAATTACTGGTAAGTAACTATTTCCTGTAAATTAAAACACGTCCTCTTTAGAAAGAAGAAAATTTCATAAGACTCAGGTGAATGCAACAAGATTCAGGAAACCCTTGAAAGTTATAAAGAGCAGACTCTCCTGGGCACACATGCTGAGAGTTGAATAGAGATCCAGGAAGCCAGATTTCAGTTTGTTAGCAGTGCAGTGTCAGCTTTTCGGTGCTGCACTACCCAGGCTCCCACAAGTAAATCATTGTTTATGCTCCTGTATGTAGCCCCAATAAACTCAATGCCTTGGTAAGCTATACATAGATGTTACTTTGGTCTGTTGTTTGCGCTATATGTAGCGAATGAAGTTTATTCATGTCTCACAGAAAAAGTCAAACAAGAGCTATTTATATCCATGTTTATATATATAAGTATAAACTCTTAGCTGTTTTAAAATTATATATCTTATGATCTCCAAAATTCATGTAATGTCTTCTTTTAAACAAAATGCAGTTAGTTGTAGAAGCATATTATAACCCATAAGTAGCATAATTTATTACAATGCTCAAAAAGCAAGCAGTAAATCCTACATCCCAAGCCCCACCAAGTGACATCAAGCTAGAGAAGTTCAGAATCTTGTTACTTTACCTTCTTTCTTCTTACTGACAGTGACCCACTCCAAAGAAACATAGAAGCCACTTCCTTTCAAGTCCAATCCCTCCTTCTCTATTCGAAGAAGCAGGATAGCTACTGAATGTTCTTCAGCTTTCAGCAATGAGATGCTGTGAATTATAATAAAAGGATTCCCAAGCTCTTCATTAAAAATAATCTATAGGAAATAAACCACATATTTTAAGTGCATGGTTTAGAAAACAGAAATACTGTTTTATAAAGCACTCTTTATAAAACAAACAAAACAAAGAAATAACAGAAAATTAGAACAATGAAAAAGAGAGAGAGAGAACTAAGGCAAACCTTAGAATCATAAAGGAAAAGGGGATGATTTACACAGCACACAAAGCAGGCAGGTAAAAGACTTCTCCATCCAATTTTCATACACCTTCTGGACTCCTCACAAGTCTTACAAAGAACAAAAAAACAACTTACCTCCCATTTTTCAGGACTATTTCCACGGTCACCTGTTCCAATGACATACAGTCTTCCTGTTCCATCTGACAAGGTAACCCAGGTAGGGGATGTGAAATGAATAGATGCACAAAGACGATTGTCATATGCTGTCACATCTGTAGGAAGTCGGAACACTTCTCGAGGTTTTCCTAAGGCAGTGTCCTAAGAAAAAAATGAAAGATTACAAACAAATCTCTTCCTAGTACTGACCCATACAAAACATAAATACCTACTGTACAGCAGATTTTTTTTTTTTTTTTTTTTGTATCTGAAAGCTGGCTGGATTTCCTTTTTTTGAGGGTAAACTGTACTGAGTCTCTTCTAACAAATAAAATACACTAGGTGGGACAGGTGACATGCATCCCCTTGGAGGAAACCACAAAATACTTGATCATCTTCGCTCTTTCTTAGGTTACATGCTTTAAGGAGGCTAGCTTCCAGGCTGTGGTCATGATTAGATAGCAAAGTGATATAAAGACCCACACAGGGAGGAACTGAGGGGCTCAACAATAACAGCACTGAGTGAACCAGACTGAAACTGCATTCTTCAGCTATAGTCAAGTTTCCCATGAGAAACCATCAGGGAGACAGGCATTTACACCACTTTGTGATTCCTGACCTCAGAGACTGTGAGATGATCGTTGCTTGCTGTTTCAAGTCACCAATCTCTGCAGTTGTTGTATCAGGACAGAGCCAGTACAATGCAGTAATGTAAATGCTTTCTCTTCACGTTAGGGTTAATGACCAGTATTTTTAATTTACTAACTAGATATATCACGTTGCATTTCGAATGCCTATGCAGATAACATTTTACAACAGTGGTTCTCAACCTTCCTAATGCTACAATCCTTTAATGCAGTTCCTCATGTTGTGGTGACCCCAACCATAAAATTATTTTCAATGCTACTTTATAACTGTAATTTTGCTACAGTTATAAATGGTAATATAAATATCTACATTTTCCAATGGTCTTAGGTGAACCCTGTAAAAGAGTCATTAGACCCCCAAAGGTATCACAATGCATAGATTGAGAACTGCTGTTCTATAGCAAAAAAGCATTACATTTAGACTACTACCAACTTAGATTTGTTAACAAATTTCCAGCTGTGTCTGTCTTCACAACATAGAGCTACAATATGAAGAATCACCAAAATGTTGGAAATGAATCCTTAGTACATGCATTTCATTCTTTTGGTTCTACAATTGTCTTAATCTATAATCTTTTCATTACAAAGTTCTTACTAGCCACAAGGTTTTGAAAAACAAAAAAAACAACAAATTCAATTATCTATAATCATAGCATTAATTTTTTGCTCACATTTTTTAAATTTGGTAATGTTGAATTAAATAAGAAATATAAAATAGCAAGTATAGCTACCAACAACTCTTTAGAAACATCAAATCTGAGTATTAGCAATATAAAACAGGGTAGTACTGATATGAATCATATACAGTGAAGCACAGACATCATCAGTAAACATTTGGCTTAAACAGTCTCCAGTCCTGAAGTTTTATGGAGGAAACAAACAACATCAGTTAATCTAAGCAGTTAGATGGAGGTCAGTTAAGAGAAATTTTGCCATAGGCTGATGTACATGTCTGCATTTAGAACAGGACATGGTAGTTCAACAGATTTGTCAACAAATGATACTGCTATACCAGAGCACTTCTGAAAAGAAGTTCATCTCTGACACACACATGAAATTATTCCATATTCCCGATGGACTAGTAACCTGAATGCTTTAGAGAAAAAGTTAAATGACTGATAGAGGACAGTTTTAACATTCAGTGATTTCCTATGCAAAAATCAAAGATATAGGAAACAAAGACTACAAACACAGGACTAATGTCAATATAAACATCAGCTTGTCCTTAAAGAGTCCTTAAAGCCTGTTAGGCAATCATATATACACAGATTATATATATATATATATATATATATGTATGTATATAATGTTTAAATGGAGAAAAATGTAAACAGGAAAATTATGGTTATTTAATAAAGTTTTAAAAGTAAAAGCCAACTGTATAAATACATTTTTAAAAGGTAAAATAATATTCTACCATTAGCAAAGAGAAAAAAGATACTAATTAGATTTGCAATGCCTATCACTGGCTGAGGTGCTTATTAAAAATAGTAAGAATGCAAATCTAATGACATTTTACATACCCTTTGATATAATTCAGCTTATAGAAATTTATATACTATTTCTTTTACTGTAAAGCTGCAAATATAAAGAATAAGAAAACTTAAGCCAGTAAATCTGGAATAGAGTGTAGCAGCAGCCTCTGTTGCCTGGAGCCTCAGGCAGGTCTTCATTCAGCTACAAAAGTCCAATACTTTCAGCATTCTTCTATTGAACAAAAATATCAGACAAACACACTGTGTGACTACAATAGAACAAAAGAATGTCATGGCATGAGAATTCTATGTACAAAAGAACAAGTCAACGCTACGAATGTGATCATACAGCACACTAGTCAAAGCTCCTGCATCTTCCTGACTAATCACAGCCACTGTCCCATTCTAGTTCTCCTTCTTTATATTTGCAGCTTTACAGTAAAAGAAATTTTCCCCCTTTGCTTCAAATGTTCCTATTTTTGTTCCACACCAAATAATTTGTGTAACATATATATATGTATATATATTAAAATATTAATAAGACAAAGCAAAATAAATTTCCACAAAGCAGATGGCTCAAAGCAAAGCTCTTCTGAGATTTATTGTATGGCCTTCCAGACTGCCTCTGGAAGTTTCCTCTAGTGAAATATCATTAAGAAGGAAGGTACTGTTCAGTCATATTCAAGTAAGTGTTTTAGTCCATTTTCTTTTAAATACATGGCTTAAAACACATGACTGAAGTTAACAGAGGTGTAATTATCAGATAAATTGGTTCAATATCTAATACAATAATTAAGACACTCAACTATATAAATGTGAAGCCAAAATTAACTAACTTAAAACACATTGTGTCTCCCTCACTTGAGTTAAATGATAAAATGAAACCAATCCAAACATTCCTGATTTTAGTTCAGTTTTAAAGTGGCCTCATACTAATGCCTTACGAAAACATTTGCAGTCCCAGGTTCCACCCATTTTCCCTTTCCTCCCAAAAAGTAAGGCAACCATGTTCAAGGATATTAGAAAACTATTGTGAGGCAATAACTCACTGTTGATTTGTGGGATTAAAATTGTGTTGGCAAATTTAATACTCAATGAGGGATAGAGCATGAAACATTTTCAATTATGATGATCTCATGTAGATATCCCCAAACCTATGAGGCTGCAAGCATTAATCACAGTTTAAGAGAGGTTCAAATGGATAAACCCGACTCAAACTCCACTGCTACAGGGCCAAGATTCCAAACCTTCTCAATCCTGTGGATGGCTAATATTTCTTCACCTTGTATCTTTTAGAAAAGATGTTATTTCTGCATTTTTCTAAACAAGTAATATTTCAAAACTCAATGCAATTTTCAAATACCAGCCCCTAAAACATTCTGTTTGCAATTATCACATTCAGTTTTTTCCATTAGCTAAACATATATTTTTAAGTAAGACTCCTATACCAATAAGATATAATACAAGTCAAAATGTTCATTCATTATATATGGATGCCATTATAAAGAAATTGTTAATAAACACCTAAATGTCATATATTTATTAAATTAGATTTTGGAGTTCTTGTAGTTGCAGATGGAAACAGAGAAGCTTTGAATGAATAAAATTCTGTAGTTGTTGTTTTAATACATCCACACTTAGAGGAAAACTCAAGGATTAAAAACATGCTCAAGTAAAATCTATAAGGGATGCCACCCATCAGTATTGTTAGACTAGCATTTCTAATTTTGCCCCTAAAAAGGAAGCAAAAACGCATCCCTATTGTTAAACATTAACTTCATTTCTTAATCCTTTTCCATTTCTATTATGATTTGGCATTAAAAACAGATGTTTATACTCATGTTAACCTGATCAATGTCTAAGCAAAATGAAGCTTTGAATAGTGTTTTAAACATTTTTATTTTCAAATTTCATCCCTCTCTTTTATCTTCTTCTTTCACCTTAAATAACTAGGTTCCGATTACTTAACTGAACTGTTATAAATAAGCTGAGTTTCAGGCAAAGAGGCAGTTTTTTTGCACCTAAAAATCTGGACTAAAAAGCAGTTATTATTTGTTTCTCTAAGGCATGGTCACAAAATACACGTTTACAAATGAAATCTAAAAGCTACTGCCCAGATTTTAAAGACACCTCAGAAAATGCTGTTCTTCTTATTGGAGAAAACAACATAGCTTTTCAGGTAAATGGATGTTTGTTATGGCAAAAATATTCTAAATACTGAGAAACAAGTTTTCTTAAATTGAGCAGTAGCTGCAAATAAAATGTTTCTCTCTCCTGCCCCCATCCCAAGCGTTTTCTACACCTTACGCACATTTTCTCCTCAATGACATTTCTCAAAGCTGAAATATTGCAAGCATGCAGTTAAACTTGCTTGGATATAGGAAGTTTAGTATAGCAACATTGAGGTGCTGCCATCTGCTGGCTTCCAACAGAGAAGGAACAACGTGTGGACCTCAAACTTTCTCAAAGCCGAAATATTGCAAGCCTGCAGTTAAACTTGCTTGGAGAAAGGAGTAATGTGTAGACCTCAAATATTTCTCAAAGCTGAAATATTGCAAGCCTGCAGTTAAACTTGCTTGGATATAGCAAGATGGATATAGGAACACTGAGTTGCTGCCATCTTTTGGCTTCTAACAGAGAAGGGGCAATGTGTGGACCTCAAACCTCAGGGTAGCCTTCCCCTTTGGACATGGTGTAATTTTGCAGATTTAACAGGATACTCACTTACGCCCTCCACAGGAAAAAGCTGCTGTCTAATTAGTGGACAGAATTCTTCACATATTTTCAACATAGCAGTTCAAAGAACTGCCTGATTTATTTTGTTGCTGATGGGAAAAAATATGGTGTTCTACTACTCCCCAGCACTTGGTTTCTCAAGATGCAGTCATAACTAGTGTCCCTGGAGAACTGCCTACAGTGCTGAATAAAATTTTAAATCTCCAGACCACCGTCAGCCATGACACACTGATTCAAAATCTTTGGAAATGGAAACCTGAAACTAGTTCTTATGTTGACCAATTACTCTATGTGATTATGAGGT